ATAAAGTATAGATTATTTTGGCAATATGGCTAAATGTATGTTATCAACAGACTCTTTTTTCTTTCCTTTGCCTTTAACTAAAAAGTTGTACTACCTGAGTTTCCAGAGGACTCTTATCCTGATGTTCCTGAAATGGAGCCTTTTAAAGAGAAGGTTAATTCTTTCATCCTCAACTGGAAACAGCTGGAAGCATTCATTCATGACTCTTTCATTCAGATTTTAAACTTAGAGATTGCTGACAGGACTCCAAAGGAACTACTTCAAAAAGTAGTTGAGACTATGGAAAGTAAGAGCTATAATCATAACATTTATTATCAGGAATAAGTGACAGTATTAAAAGCATTTTAAAACTTTGAAGACTTTCTTTATGCTTTATGAAGTAAATGCTCAATATATCAAAGGATGATGTAGAAAATACTCAGTAACCATCATAACACAGGCTCTGGCCAGTCAGAACAGCATACTGGCCAGTTGTCACGTAAGGACTTTGTAAAGGCCTATCTGCATACATATATAGACTAAGAGATCAACAATAATAATTAATTTTCCTAACCTTTGACTGTGGTAATATGCTAATAACCTTTTATTCTAAAATTATTTTCCCCGGTGATTCTTCTTTTTTTGTTTAACAGAACCTTTCCAGTATACTGCATGGGAGTTAGGTGTGGAAGATTATGATGAAGAAACAGAAGACTATCAGGCCGAAGGAGAGCTTGATGAGGAGCCAGATGAAGAGGAAGAGGAAGAGGAAGAGGCATGATTCTTTTATTACTCCTCATTCTCATTTGGCTAGTCATTGAAAACGTACATACCCAAAGTGGTAACCAGCACTTTGGACCCCAAGGGAACAAAGGGGCAGTCTCAATTGCACAAATAAACATTTTCTAACACACATTCTACTTCTCCCCAGCTTCACTTGACTCCCTGAAATGCCAGGGCTACTTAGATAGCATGAAAAAAAAGACACCTGTGAAAAAATAGAAGAGAAATCTTTTAAATTTTCTTTCGTGGAAAAGATGTGTAAGTTTTAGAATTATAAA